AACATCTACCATTTAAACTTAAAATATTTGAAAATAAATTTTATTTATGCCTAAGAACAAATATAAAATGAGTATGAGAAGGAAGAAGAATAATAATAATGAAAAAATGAAAATTTCAGAAATAAAAGTAAACAATGAATTAGATAACAATGAAATAGTTGTAATAGATGATAATGAAATAGTTGTAAATTTGAAAGAAAATAATAAAAAGAATTTATTAGAACAAGAAACTAAAGAAGTTGAATTAATAGAAGAAAATAAAATAAAAGAAGAGGTATTAGATGATTTTATAGATGATACTATAGTTTTAGAAAAAGCACCTAATGAAGAATTAGAAAATATCAAAGAAGCTTTTAAGTCTATTAACATTAAAGATCTTAGTTTAGATGGTGATGAGTTTGAAAGTGTTAAAACAAATCTTGAAAAATCAAATATTATTTTATCTAAATTGTCTGATGAAGATCCTATTCATGTTTATATGAAACCAATTTTAAATTTCATAGAAGGTATTTATAAAAACATTAAAGTTGTTAACTCATTAAGATCTAATGATAGAGAATTGTTGGAAAAATGTTATGTTTGTTTGATGAATAACGATATTGATGGTGCTAAACTCTGTTTAGAGTCTACTACAGATGAAAATGGTGTTGATTTGCTTAAGTTTAAATCAATTAAAGAATCACTATTAAAGTTCCAATCAGAATTTAATATTTTAATAACTGATTTCAAATTACTTTCTAAATTAAGTAAAATTATATCAAAAAGCAATCAAGAATTATCTACACAAAATAGAATATTGTATGAAAGAATAAGTAAAATTGACATTGATAATGATTTAAAGAATAGAAAGTTAATTGAGGATGCTAATTCATTAAAAGATAATTTAATTACACTCTTATCTAAACACACTGTTTTAGATTCACGGTTAGAAAATGATTTAATAAGTAGGTGTGCATTCATCTTAAATGGTAAAGATAAAGAAATTGATAAGTTAAAAAGTGAAATTATTGATTTAAATTCTAAAATAACGATTAAAGAGGATTATTTTAAAGCCAATAATGTAGAATCCTTACAGAAAGAAAATAAAGAATTACAAGAAGTTATTAAAAAACTAAG